CCGCCTGCTGCGCAAGCGCAAGGACCTGAGTTCGATCTCCAGTACCAAAAAAAAAAAAAACCTTAAAACTCAAGGGTAAAAAAAATTCATTTTTAAAAAGGGCAAAAAAATGACATTTCAGTGCAGAGGATACACAGAATAAGCACATTCCAAGATAGTCAGCTCTGTTAGTGTGAGAGAAGTCCAGACTAAAAGCACAAGGTATCGTGCCTATTAAAATGACTTATGGTTTACATCCAGATATCCCCCAAAGCCTCATGTACTCATAGTGGGGGCTTTGGGGAAGTGACTGGATCATGGGTGTATAATACTCACTAGTGGATTAGTCTACTGATGAGTTTATAGCTGTGTGTATATGTTGAGAGGCAAAGCCTGAAAGAAAAAGGTGGGCCACTGTGGGAATGGCCTGGAAGGACATACGTTCCTCCTCCTCCCTTGATCCCTCTCTGCTTCCAGCCTGCCATGTCATGAACTGCTTCTCCTCCATCATGCCTCTCTGCCATGCTGGAGCCAGCCATCTATGGTCTGTAACCTCTATGAACTGTGACCCAAATAAATCTCTCCTCTTTAGTTGTGGGTGTCTGGTATTTTGTCCCACCAACAAAAACCTAAAGACAATGACTGAAATAAAAAATACCAACAACACCAGTGCTGGCAAAGATGAGGAGAAACTAGACACTCACACACCACTGGTGGGAGTGCAAAATGGTAGAGCCACTTTGAGAAATGGCTTGGCAGTTTCTTCCAAAACTGAACATACAACTACCTTATGACCAGCATTTATTCCAGAGAAGCAAAGTGTTTTGTTCCCATCAAAATCTGTACAAGAAGGCCGGGGATTTAGCTCAGTGGTTCCACTGCCTGTTTTGCAAGCACAAGGACCCAAGTTCCATCCCTGGTACTAAAAAAAAAAATCTGTACAGGAATGTTGATAGCAGCTGTTTGCGACAGAGCAAAACTGGTATCACCCCAGATGTCCTTCAACAGGTGAATGGCTAAGCAAACTGTGGTACACCCATGCCACAGAATCCTACGCAGCATTAAAAAGGGACGAACTTGATATATGCAGTATTTCAGATAAATCTCCAGGGAATTATATTATACTGAGCAAAAATGGTTAATCCCCAGGCCTGGGATTTAGTTCCATGGCACCGCGCCTGCCTTGCAAGTGCAAGGTCCAGAGTTTGATTCCCGGTACCAGAAAAAAAAAGGTTAATCCCCAAAGCCTACTTAGTATGTGATCCCATGTAACATTTTTAAATGCCAATTTTAGGAATGGAAGGCAGATTAGTGGAACCCATCATTTGTGACAGGGTAGGGGATTGGAGAGAGGTGGATTTGGCTGGAAAAGGACAACGTAAACCATCTTGGTGGCAGTGGAACTCTTCAGGATCTTGACTGTGGGCGCCTGGACCTGCCTGGGTGACAGATGTATAGAATTTCACACACAACAATGAACACAACTGAGGCTGCAGGATTTGAAGTAAGATCAGGGCTCATATTGACAACATATTCTGATATTTGCTATAGTTTTTTTTGCAAAATATTACCAATGGGAAAAACCTGAGCAGAGTACAGGAGATCTCTTAGGTGAGATCATATAATAAATAGTTCAACAAAATTTAATTTGCATTCTATTTGAGACAAGGTCTTACTATGTAGTTCAGGCTGCCCTTGAACTCAGCAATATTCCTGCCTCAGCTTCCCAAGTGCTGGGATTATAGGTGTGTACCACCAAACCTAGCTTAATTTTCAGTTTTAAAAGTTCCACTTAGAGCTGTCCACCAGTGCAAGGTAGCACCAGACCCCACAGGGAAGTCCCCAGGTCTGACACTGCTTCAGACACTGAGTGCAAGTCCAGGCCTCTGGGACTTCTGATGCTGGGAGGACAGGTTATGGGTTCCCATGACCTCCCCCTTCAGTTGGGTAACTTTCTGGAATGGCTGCAGAAGTCAAGAAAACACTCATATTTGCCATTTTATAAGGGATATCATAAAGAAAATAATAGGCTGGGAGATGGAAGCAGGAGGACCACAAATTCAAAGCCAGCTTGGACAATTTAGCAAGATCTTGTCTCACAATTAAAAGAAAAATAAATAAATAAAAACACATATGAACAGCTGGATGAAGTACACAGAGGGTCCTGAGCAGGAGTTGGAGTACATGGGTTTCCTGGCACATCGTTGCGTTCGTCAACCCAGAAGCTTCCAACCCCAACTTTTAGGAATATTTATTTTACTGCCGAGGATCGAACCTAGGGCCTCACACACACTAAGCATATGCTCCACCCCCAGCCCAAGGGACTTTTTAAAAATTCATGTTTATTTTTAACTGGTACACAGTAATTGTGTATATTTACAGGGTGCTGTGTGGCACTTCGAGACGTGTGTGATGTGTAATGATCAGATCAGGGTCACTGGCACATCCTTCGCCTCAGACATACCTTTTATCGTCGTGTTGGGAACATTCAAAATCCTTACCATGTGACTCAGCGGTTCCCCCAGCCCAGTCAGTCTTCTTTTTTCCGTTCCCCAGACACCCCAGCCTCTGTGACCCTGTCCCGTTCTCTCTCCTATAGAACTAGCTTTGTGCTTTCCATATTAGTTAGGGATCTTCACAGCAGCTGTGTCCCTTGGCAGGACTGATTATCAGTTGTCTCAATCCCATCTCCCCTCTGACATGGGGCTGGGTGTCCCAGGCTAACATGTGGCTTAGTCTTTAGATGACCAGCTCACCCTGAAGCCACCCAGCAGATCACCCAGAGCTGCCTCGTTGGAACACAAGATGCACCCATCATTCAAGAAGTTCTGGGGGTTTAAGAGCTTGTGTGCAACACTCCTACCACCTCGTTGCTGAGGCAATCAGGAGCCCTGTGTCAGGAACTAGACACAGATTTCTCCTTGTGCCACACTCCTTTGGAAGACACTATCCCCATGCACCAGGCCTTGGGTCCCACCCCTAACACCACAAATGTACAAGAACCTTGGCAGGAGATACACTGTTTCCAAAGTTATTCTCCTGAATCTGTGAACGTAAGAGAGTTTTCACTTTTTAAAAACTACTTTTAAATTCCCTATGATGATGAGTGTTATCATTATGTATGTCTAAAATGTACCAGTAAATGTTTTGCTATTAAAAAATTAAAGATTAAAAAAATAATAAATAAAAACTACTTTTAGGGCCAGCCAGCCGTGGTGGCATGCACCTGTAATCTTAGCACTCAGGATACTGAGGCAGGAGGATTGCCACCAGTTCAAGGTCAGCCTGAACTACATAGTGAGACCCTGCTTCAAAAAAACCATCAAAAAATAAGTAAAATAAAAACTACTTTTGCTGTTGACTGGACTATCAGAAGGGCAGTAGCGTTCCTGTTATGACTAGGGCTCCCAGATAAAATGCAGTACAACCAGTTTAGTTTAATTCCAGATAAACAACAAATAATTACCTTAGTATATGCATGTCCCATGCAATATCTGTCTATCCGTGAAATCTGGAATCCTAGTTATGATCCCAAACCTCAAAGCTGTTCCCACCAACACTGTCACAAGCTAGTGTTCCCCATGTCCCCTGGGCAGAGGATCTGCATCTGCCCTTCTGTGCCCTCTGCTCCCACCTGGGAATCACTCTGTCACCAGGCAGCCTTCCTCTCCCCGTGGAACCAGTGACCACCAAAATCTGAGACCCTGAACTGGGCCCAGGAATGCTGGACAAACACATATGCTCTCTCCTGGCTGTGTCACCTTTGTCCAAGCCCTCCTGGGACATTCTACACTTCAAGGAGCCACATCTATAACTTTCTCCTGAGCTATGCATGAGTGTGAGACCCTGCATGACTCAGCTCTGTTCAGAGGTAGTGTGACCACAGTGAATCCCTCCTACCTCCTGTGGGTGAGTGAGCAGTGCAGGAGCTCAGGGCCTGAGAGTCCTCTCAGCACACAGAGCAGCCCCACCCTGAGCACCCATCCAGGCTCTCTGGGGTCCCACCCTGACTGCCATGGAGCCACGGGCTCCTGTGCACATGCCCAGCATTTAGCTATCTGGACTGAGGACCACAGAGTATGCAGAGCCCCAAGCCCCCAGCTGAAGGAAACCAAGGGGCTCTGCCTGACATCCTCCACCCCAATCCCACAGCTGGGCTCACAGTCCCTAGTTCACAGCAGAAGAGCTGGCCCGAGGTCACAAGATGGGAACCTTGGCCTGGGTGAATCCTCCAAGGGCTTGGAGGGCTACCCAATTTTGAGGATGCTGTAGGTCAAGCTGAACCCTCGGTGATAAAGGTAGGTTGCCTGGCACACTGTTCCTATGTTGAGTGCCCACCATACAGGCCACCCATTACCCTGCTGGCTCCTCCCTGCCTTCTTTGGTTCAGATAAAAGAAAAAATAAAACAGGCTCCTGTGCACGGACAGCATCCACTGAAGATCAGTTGAGTGTTACAGCTGAAAGAAAGGCCAAAGGGACAGTCCCCATCTGTGTTGTGTTCTGGCTCTGTGATAAGCAGCACACCCTCTAGTGCTAAGCGCACTCACGGGGTCACCTTGCACACAAAATGAGAATGTCCACCTGCCTCAGGTGTCCCTCTCTGGCTTCAGGAAGCTCCTGTTCCCGCACCTAGCCTTCCTGGGCACAGTCCCCAGAAGCCTGCAAACAGCAGCAGCCTGAGGAGAGCTGGGGGGTGCTTTCTGCATAGGCTGGTGAGGGGGAGCCTCCTCAAAGCAGTGCCATCGCGGCAAAGATCTCAAGAGGGCATGCAAGAGGCAGACACCTGGGGAGGAGCGTGCCAGGCAGCCAGCCAGTGCAAAGGCCCAGAGGTGGGGGTCAAGGGGGACAGAGCCTAACCTGGGAGCTCTAGCTTGGATCTGGAGAAAACCAACCCCGCCTGGGAAGGACCATCTGTCTGCTGGCTCTCCCTGCGACTGGCTGGATAGCGACGCCCTGGGCTTCGTGCAGCCCAGATCACCGCGGGAGGGACCTCAGCGGGGCTTCTCGCAGCTTCCACTGTCCAGAGATGTCACTCATTTTTATTTAAAATGGAGAAACCTCTCTCAACAGAGCAATATTAAAGCAGATAGCAGGTTGGATCCGGACCTTGAAACAGCCGTCCAGGGCCTAGGAGGGGCGAGCAGCGACGGCGACTCCGGGACTAAGCCAGCATTCGGGGCGAACAAGTCCTCGGTGCTTAAGGTGGGGACTTGCAAACGTGGACAAATCCGTCTCGTTTCTACATAAACAAGGAGCCGCGGCGTCACGAGTTGGGACTACCGGCCGACCCTGCCGACCGAGAAGGCGGACCCGGGCTCGACTCCGCATTCGTGACGCAGGACGCTGCCCTCGGGCCCCACCTGCCTGCTCAGCACCGCTGCCAGCCGGAAGCCCCGTGGAGGCCGCTGGATGGGAGCCGAGGCGCCCCAACCGCCGAGCCCCGCGAAGAAACCGCGGGAGGCAGACTCGTACCACCCCCGCGTCCGGCCTTGCCAGCCGCCGCCCGCACTGCGCCTGCGTGGTCTTCCAGCCGCGGCAGGGCGGCCGCGTGGGACTGCGCCTGCGTACCCGCTCGGCCCCGCCCCGTCCTCGGCGCCTCGGCCTCTAAAGCCGCAGTCCCCGTCAGACCCCGGGTGGGGCAGGTGCGTGGGGACTGCGCCTGCGCGCTCCGGTCCCGCCCCGGCCACGCCCCCGCGCCGCGCGGGGCCCTGGGAGGGGCGCAGCGTCCGGCGGCGTTTCGGCGGCGGGGCCGGGGCGGCGGGAGGGGCGACGGGGTCAGACAAAGCGGTTAATGAATGGGCGCGCCCGCCGTGCCCTGCGCCGTCGAGCCCGCGGGCCGAGCCGCGCCGAGCCGGCGCCGCAGGTGAGTGCGCGCGACGCCTCCACCCCCCCACACACCCCCGCGCCAGCCACCGGTGCGAGCCGCGCGGGCCGGGCCGCGCCATTGTCCTCAGGCCCGGGCCTTCCGCCCGCCGCCCCGCCCCGGCCCGGCCCCGCGCTGACAGCTGCCAGGCGGCCGCCGGCCCAGGCCCGCCCCGCTGCTCCTCGCGTGCCCGGCCCCCGCGCGTCCGGCTCCCACGTTCCTCCCCACCGCCGGCCCATTGTCCCTCCCATGCCAGCCACCCTCCCGGCACCGGCGCTGTCCCGGGCGCGTGAACAGGGAAGTCACGCTCGCCGAAGTTGGCGCTGATCAGATTAAGTCACGGCCCGCGGAAATCCACTTAGGGCTCCGGAGGAGGCCGGGGCAAGGGCAGCCCTGCGACTTCGTACAAAGAAGCACGAGTTTTCCGTGCGTTCTCGGTGTCATCGTGGGGATACCCTCTGGAGACCCGGAAGGGTTCGGTTGGGCTTTTTAAAGAGTCAGTAAATAACCCGAACTTCGGCCGCGAGTTAATTCTGATTTCTAGTAATGGTGGAGAGCAGATTTCTCTGCGCTTGCCTCGGCGGGCGCCCTCGGGGCCCTAAGCGTTTGCAGTGGGCTGTCCGGAGGATGCTCACTTCCTGAGTTCTCCAACAGATGGTATCTGCTCCCCAGGGCCTGCTTTTTCTCAGGAGAAGATCTAGTACACGTTAAGAGAATTCTGTGAAGCTTTAGAAAGTTTCAACAACTCTGTCTTTAGCCAAAGGATGCAGTTAATTTACATTGAAAGAAAGCTTGAAGACTCCGTGCTTTGACAGGTGGATGGTGCACAGCCATCCGCTCGCAACACAGTTCCACTTTATTCCTGAATGTGGTAGTTAATGTTTTTGGATGTGAAAGCTCAACTCTGATGTGTGTGCATGCCCACAGACACGCAGATTCCCTAACACCTTGTAGAAAGTTTTAGGTAAATTCTGAGAACTGACTGACTTCTGTGTATGTGCAAGGGATTGTCTGCTTAGTGAAATGTGTTTCAGGTCCCTGGTGGGCCTAGAGTTTGCAGTGAGAAGTGGAGCTCTGGAAGTGTGAAGACAGTAAGTGACCGTTGCCTGTGCTGTCCTCTTTACTCTGCATGCAGGCACAATTGCAGTACCTGGCTTCTCTACTAAAGTCGGATTTCCTCTTCCTTGAGGTGGCAGTGGCCTTGGGAGGGGAGAAAGCAGGTAAATGACTGTTGGGCTTGGTGGCTGGCCTTAGCACTAAGTCCCAACCCAGCTTCCTCCTAGCCTTCTGTTTCCTTCTGAGCGTCTGCACAGGATAGTTCAGGGCCTGTGGCTGTCATTCTTCTGACTACTGTGTGACTTTCAAGTTACAAGGCCCAAGGAAGCTGCGCAGATTTGTTGCTCCTGTAGCCCTTTTGTGTTTTACTAAATTCAGCCACTGGTCATAGTGTGCCTTTAGCTCTGACCTTCTTTGAGCTGCTGAGCTCTGGCCATCCACTGTCTGGGGCACAGGGGTACCCAGTTTGTGAGTCTCACCCCCCTCCTTGGGGCTCCAATCTACAGGCACTGATCTTCCAAGGTACTTCACTCTGCCCAGGGTGTGCTCACCTCTTTCCCCTCCACCTGACTCCCCTGTGCCTGCTGGCACAGCAGAAGGCCCTGCTCTTAAAGAACGTAGTAGTGGTGGTAGGGATTGACGTAAAACAGAAAAAAAGCCCAATACCCAGGCACACTTGTAATCCCAGCTACTAGGGAGGTTTAGGCAGGAGGATTGAAAGTTAAGGCCAGCTTGGGCAACTTAGCAAGACCCTGTCTCAAAAACCAAACCAAACAAAAAGGCTCAGTAAGTACTCTGAGGAAAAAATTCCAGCAGGTACAAGTACAGGAGATGTCTCAGTTTCTGTCTGAGAATTGCTCTGGAAGACCTCTGGGAAGGAGGGACATTTAGCACTTAGAGGCCAAAGGCCTCGTGGGAAGCATTGTGACACAGCCAGGGCCAGAGTGAGTCACCTTCTTCTGTAGCCCCCTCCCCAGCTCCCCAAGAATAATGTTGGGGATCCAGTGGGCACATATACCAATTAGCAGAGCCTGAAGATGCCGGGCTTGGTGCCCAGCAAGATGTGAGCTCTGCCAGCAGCTGCCTGCAGGTAAAGGCCTCACAGCAGCTCTGGCCCACAGTCTGTACAATAGCAGCCTCTGGGACTGGCCTGCAAGGGCACTCTTTCTGTGACTGCTGCAACAACCTGCCCCTGAGCCCTAGGCTTGCCCTGGCATCTGGCCTCCCCACTTCTGCAGACCTAGGAGGTCCCAGTCTTCATCCAGAGCCACGTGATCACTGCTTGCACTCACCTGCGGTCACTGCTGCACCTGCCTGCCAGAGAGCAGGGTGGGGGCCGAATGGTGCTTGAGGAGCGCTCTGCTTGGCTGCTGTGTCATAGAAGCCATCTTCACATCCTGTGAGCAAAAGGACATTTAAAGATTTTCTGTAGCTTTTGGCCACAGCTGTGATTTGAGGCCTGACCTGAAGGACAGCCCAAACCCTAAAGGGAAGGGTAGGCGGTGAGTGTGCTGTTGTCAAGTTCAGGAGACCCACAGAGAAAGCAGGCCGAACAATCCATGCCCTGGTTTGTGACCCAGAGCATGTCATGGACAGCACAGGGACCAGCTGACCTTACCATGGTCTGTTTGCTTACTGTGGAATGTGCTTTGTTAGGTAGCCTTATCAGGGTTTCTGACCACATCTCTGGCTCTAGCTCTGGTTTTGGGTTTGTGCAGTTTAACTCTTACCCGCTGTTGTTGACTGTCAGCTTTGGTTGCCACCTCAGTTTGGCCCAGGCGCAGATTGTGGTTTTTCTCTGCTTGGGCACTGCAGCTCTGTGGTGTTGCTGGCTTTGAGGCACTTGATGCAGCTGCTGCCCCTGGAACACATTAATTATGTCATGCACAGGCAACCCACTTTCCGGTCCCCCTTCTGTCTCTCTTAGGCAGAAGCTTTTTTTCCCAATAAACTTTTCCTACTCTTAAAAAAAAAAATTATGTCATACAGCCTATGAGTAGGGTAAGGTCGCCCTCAGGTTTAGATCAGGCCTTACTCATGGCCTTGGGAAGAGAGACCTCCCTGTCCCTGAGGGAACTAGCTCCTTGAGGACAGCCACACTGCTAGTCTTGGGAAGTTTCTGATCTAGAGACTTCTGGGACACGAGTGTGTGCATGCACACACACTCCCACCCTGCCACGTGTCTCCAGCAGGTGCTTGCAAACTCTTTGAAGGAAATTTCAGCTACAGGATACTTCATCTCTGAGTGTCCTTTTCCCCTCAGGAAAGAGGAAAGAACGTTCTCTACTCCAGCCCACGATGGAGAGCATCTAAGAAGCATAATGAGAACCCCTGGTGTTGCCCGGAAGCCCTTGGCAGTCAGATCTTCCCAGGTTCCCCCACATATCATTAGTAGCTGTTTTCCCCAATCCGAAGTCCTGCGTCACAGTGGGTGTTGGGTCTCTGCCCCACGTGTACCTGTGACCTGGCAGCAGGAGGCTTGAGTGGGTCTAGCTGGCATGTTTGGGGTGTGCTGTAGATGGCACTGTGCTCTGAGGCTGTCCCGCCAGGACTGCAGTCAGTGTGTGAGATGCCACAGGGGCCCAAGAGCAGCATGTGGACTTCTCCATGCTGCTGCTCTTCTGCCTTCACCTCACCTGCCTTCCTCCTTCACAGGTACCTCAGAAGACAGGACAGAGACTTCTTCCTCATTACCAGTTTTGAGAGGATGCCTTTGGTATAATAGTCACCCCCCCTTGTGCCAGGTGTTTCTGTTTCTCTTTTTTCTTCTTTGAAGACCAAGGCAGACTTGTGGATTCTCTTTTGTTTGTTTTACTTGTGGATTCGTATTCCTCACTATATTATAACCTGTGGAAAATCTTTGCTTTTGTTGTATGTGTGACACTCAAATTAATATAAACAGGACCAGCCAGGAGCCCCTGCAGCTGGCTCCTGGGTCCTTCACATTTGGCAAGTCCTTCATCTTTCATGGACACTTTGTTGTGACCTGTTGTCCTGGCTCACCTTGGCTCATCTTGCCTCACCTTGGCTTTCCTTTCAAGACCTGCATCCAGCCATTTCTTTTTTTTTTATTTTTTTGGTACCAGGGATCGAACTCTGGACCTTGCACTTGTGCAGCAGGCGCTGGAACCACTGAGTCCAGCCATTTCTTGAGTCCTTTCATTCCTTTTAATGAAGAAAGGTATCTGTTGTATTTGCATCTCGTTATTGCTGCTATTTTCAGTGGTGGTGATCAAACCAGGGCTTTGTGCATGTTAGGCAAGTGCTCTGTCACTGAGCTACATCCCTAGCTTACATTTGTGTCATTGCTTAACATTTCCCTAAAATGCATATAAGATTGATTGTAAAGTTTATGAGTTTTTTTTTCTAGACAGTCTTATATAGCTCAGCTCAGGCAGGCCTTGAATTCAGGATCCTTAAGTGCTAAGACTGTAGGTGTGCTCCATCATGTGTGACTAAAATTTGTATTTTTAAAAATTCTTTTAATTTTTGTATATGTTTCACTTGGGATGAATGAATAAAGTACCATTTTAAAGTCCCTTGATAGATACTCTTTTTCTCCAATTATGTTGCCCATTTTGATACACATTTAGATTTTGTTTTCAGATGTGGCTTTTTTTAAGACAGGGTCTCACTATGTAGTTGCGGCTGGCCCTGTAGTCTAAGTTGGGCTTGAATTCATGATGACCCTCTTGCCTCAGCCTTCCAAGTGCTGGGATTACAGGCATGTGCCACCACACTCAAATTCGAAATTTAAAATTTTTTCTTGTATAAAATAACTACATCACTGGACATAAAGGCACACGCTTGTAATCTCAGCACTTGGGAGGCTGAGGCAGGAGAATCCTCGTGAGTTTGAGGCCAGCCTGCACTACAAAGCGAGACCCTGTCTCCAAAAAAAACAAAAACAAAAACAAAAAAACTACATAGTTTGAAGGTCAAAA